TTATAATAATAATTATAAATTAGAATTAATTATAATAATTTTAATAAAAAATTCTAATAATTATTATAATTAATAATAAAAGTTTGTAATAATAATTATAATAAAATTAATTATAATAGCAATTATTATAATTAAAATTAATTTTAATTAATAGTAATAATTTATAATAATAATTATAATTACTTATAATAATTATTATAAATGTGAACAATAATATTTATAATAATAATTAAAAATTATAATAATAAAACGTATATTGATTATTATAAAAATCAATTGTAATGTATTTTAATAGTTATTATAATAATTATTACATATGTAAAAAGTTAATAATTATATTTATGATTCAGGGTGTTTAGCAGAGCTGGACAGTCTAATGTCAGGGACGACGACGAGGCGTTCGATGACTATTATGATGGTTCTGGCACCCGACACACTAGAACTCGGGGTGTCAATGCGTCTGTTCGTCGGGACAGACAGGCGATGATCGATGAGGCTCGGAGGGTACAACTTCGTCAGGCTGACCAGAGTTCGAGACCCCCTGCACCTGTGCGAGATGGTCCGCAGTGATATCATTTTGAGGGCCAGCCAGATGGTTCGCGACCCCACGGACTCCTCCCGTACGATGAGCATGGATTTTATTATCCTGGGCAGGCAGGCAGTTCGATGCCCCCGGCACCAGGACCGTACGATCAGTCGCGATATCCTTTTCCTCGCTACGCAGGGAAGTCGATACCTCCTCGCGCACGCGTACCATTACCCTATGGTCAGCGGGGGTTTGCTGATGAGTCGTACGACGAGAGGGAGGATGGTCCAGAGGAGTGTGATGACTCGGACGACTCCTCTGATGACTCGGACGACCACGCACAGCCTACGGGTCCTAGCCACCCTCGTCCTCCTGTACAGCCTGTTCGTCCGGTACAGCCGGTTCTGAGGCATGTTCGTCCGGTACAGGCTGTTCGTCCTACACAGCCTGCTCCTCAACAACGACAGGCTGGGGGGCGTTTTGGCCCCGCTGCATCCTCATCAGGTAAATAATTTACGTATTTATTGTTGTTTAACATAAATTGTTTTGACTTAATCATAACAAATTATCGGTACTATTAGAAAAGTATTATCGGCTTGCTCCTCAACTACGGTATAATTATTTTGTAATTTAGAGGAACCATACAATTAATTAGTTAGAAAATTATTATAATTATTTTTATTATTGTTATAATCAATTAGTAGTAATGTTTAGGGGATTAATTAGTTTAAAATTATCATTATATTTTGTTAATGTAAAATGTAACGGTTGTACATTAATTGAAAAAAAAGAACGGGAAACTTATGAAATATGTTTTATTAAATATATTTTATTTAATGCATCTGCCAACAAACCTACATATACAGATATGTTGTATTGTAATGCAGGTACTAGCAAACGAGCTAAGACCGATGATGATGCACTTTGGATCGTTAAAGGCCCAGTGGACGGTGGGCCCATTGATGGGAGTGTCATCCCTAGCTTTCTAGGGCACGTCGCCTCCTGCATGTGGAGTGGACAGTTGAGGGGGCTGCTGAAATGCCACAACGGACTGAGAACGGTCGAGAATCTGATAAAGTGGCGTGATGAGATGTCTCCCGCTGCGAGAGCTCTGATCGACGGTACCGGGCTGTCACATCTGGCCGACTCCATGCACATCCACTTGGACACCCCACTCATTTCTGCGTTTGTGGAGCGATGGCAGCCGGATATTAACTCGTTTCACCTGCCTTTTGGTGAGATGGGCATCATGCTGCACGACGTCCGGGCCATTTTGGGCGTTCCTGTGGAGGGAGCCGTGGTCGCTGAGGACCCGGATTCAGACGTCTGCCATGGGCTCCGCATGTCGATACTTTCGGTCAACAAGGGCGAACTCATGAGTTCGTTCTGGCAGTGTGGTTCGGTGACCGAATCCTCCATTGTGGGGGCCTTTAGGGGGAAAGGCCGGCCGGCTAGGGATAAGGTGGGTGCTTGGATGTGGGTGATGCTGGCTACCACATTGTTCGTCGACAAGAGTGGTAGTAGAGTGACCCCCAAGCTCCTGCACGAGGTGCTCGACGGCTTGGATTTGATTGGGGGTTACTCCTGGGGATCGGCTACGCTGGCATACCTGTACAGACAGCTCGGTATTGCCAGTCGAGGGGACTCTGCCCAAATGTCGCGCTGCGGGGCTCTTCTGCAGTCTTGGATATATGAGTATTTCCCCAATTTCCGACCCTAGGGGCGTCTGCCCATCGGTCCTGACTGTGTTGCACGGTCTCGCTCGTGGAGCGTAGGGAATGCACCAAGGACAGAGGATCGGCTCACAGCCATCCGTCGACGCCTCGACAGACTCACTGCCTCCGATGTACGTGAAGTTATTTTATTTAAATTTAGTTACCCGTTATTTAAAATAATAAAATTATTTTTATAAATACTTTTATGCAATTGTGAACAGGTGCAATGGTTTCCATACGGCAGCTCCAGCCCAGATTCGATAGAGCCGAGGACTCTTTATAGCGGATTGATTCGATACCGCGATGTCGTCGAGCCGTACTTGCCTGTGTGGTGTCTGCGTCAGTTGGGATATGTCCAGACTGTCCCTCCACCTATATACCCGCCAATCAGTGTCGTACGTGCTTGAGAGTCTAGGAACTACAGGGTTGATCATTCTGAGGCTGGTGCAGTAGGTTGCTGGATCCAGTTCCCGATTTCTGGGATGGTCAACACCGCTATGTTCACCCCCACCACACATGATCGCGGGGAGGCGACTGAGGATTACATGGAGTGGTACAGTCGTGTTTCCCATCCGACTGTCATGGGCGAGGAGCTGGCGGACGAGACCGAGGTCCCTACGCGTGTCAATACCTCATATGTAAGTTGGTTACTAAATTTTAATTAATGTTATTTCATTACAATACATTTTCTTTAATAATTTTTAGTCATATTTTTTTATTCTTCCATTTTTTTAGTGGGTGAACCGTCTTTTGGGCATTACACGTGACATGCAGCGGGGTTGCGAATGTCCGATGGCGGCGGAAGTCGAAGAAAATTTAGCTAAATTCAAGTTGGATTACGACAATGCCCAATGATGATGTAATGCATGTTTTTTTTAAGTATTATTGTAAAACATTAAGTTGAACGGTTTTTTTGTTATTTATTATTTGTAAAACATTAAGTTGGATGGTTCATATTAAAAATAAAAAAATCGCGAGAGTCGTTTAAAGGAGTACAAAGTCGCCCAAAATGCCTCTTAAGAACCGAGACAAAATGTCTCTCAAAATCAACAACATTCAGATAGGTGGCAAATATAGTTCGATAAACATGTGTTTTTAACAAGAACATTCAAGAAGGTTTATTTTGAACAGTATACCACAATTGCAACCTAGCCTGGTACTGATCCTCCCAACCCACAACTGATCGATCTCGGCAACGGGACCACATGGGTTCAATAGGCGGTAGTGGACAATCAGGAGTCAAATCTAAACGAATGTAGTGTTCTACGGTACCAAGATGGCACAATCTCACGACATGGTCCTCTAGCCGATGATCGTGCAATGAGAGGCAACACTGTGATGTTGAAGAAGTTGTGTTGCCCACCTTGAGGACCAGAGCCCAACAGAACGACAACTACATTAAATAGGGTCGCAACGGCATAGAGGTCCTGCGGAACTTCGAACCAGTGTTCTCATCCACAAGGCCGCTCTCCCACCTTACTCGATGAAGTCCAGTGTCGATATCTCTAAAATAGATGTACTCGTACAATC